CGTATCCAATGAATATGCATGGACATAAATTTTGAACACATTTCTATGTTACTATTTTGTACGGTTCAGTTATGGATATCTGGCCAGATAGTCATAATCCAACGTTACACGCATTTCTCTCCAGATCGAAAGCCATGTGTGGATGGACGAAACTGAGTATGAATGCTGATATTCAAGTTTATAAATGTTTTATTGTCATATTGGTCCACATGCAACTATAAAAATGCATATGCTTCTCAAAGAAGATGTTGAATACTTAACAATGATTGATACAGAATAAGACTTTTCAAAAGCTTTTTCATCACTTGGAATTTTTAATCAATAAACAAATCAGCGTTTTTTTTTCTGGAAAAGCTTGTATGAAATTTGAATCTATTTCATGAATACTTAATCTTATTAATGACTGAAACAGTTTAAGTGCCAAAAACAGGGCGAGTGAGTGGATGAATGACGAGCAGACAGTTATCCTCACACATCCACCCTCCCACAGTGAGCAGCCAGGTGACAAAAGCTTTTTTTTTAGTTCTAATTTTCTCAGTCGCAGTATCTTCAAAAAAAAGTTGAGTAATATCCCATATGAAAGCCTATTAAGTGGGCATCAAAAACGCATATTTACTTGTTATTAAAAAGCCGTTGCTCAAAAAAGTTTTATCAAAAATATTGGAAATTTGTTTGCTCCTGCCTAGGCCTAGGACAGATCCCAGTTCTATGAACTGTATATTTTCCAAGAACTGGATGAGATGACCAGCTCTTTTTCGAGAACTGTGTACACCCGATAATTCTTTTTGAAGAACTGTATGCACCCGGCAGTTCTTTTTCAAGAACTGATCATGATGATATATAGAAGACGACGTCAATACTTATTTTTGTTAAATTTCTTGTTCTTCTAGTTGTCTTATTTCGTATTGTTATCATCACTCGCTCTTGTTTTGATTATTTTACACATTGTCAATATCAGTACATATAGTTAACATAAACACGTTTAAAAAATTTTGTACAGAGATATTATTATTTTAAATCTCCTGAACTCAACCATCAGCTATCATTGGGATAAAAGAATCCGACTATTGTCGTACACAAAATACTAGGGGATGACTGTCAATGAATATTGTCATATTTATTATACATATGACGATTGATTGTTGAGGCAACTTAAAATAAAAACAATCATAGATAATATTTGATGATGACTTTAACTAAAGCCAAAAACTTAATTTAAATCAATTCTATTTTCTTTTCATAATAAAACTCAACATATATTTAACTTCGAATCTCATGTATATATAGTTTTGAACGAAAATTTTTATTCATGTTTAGATATAAATACGCATGTTTTCAATAAATAAATTTGTTTGAAAGGGATTTGTGCATACGGAACATCGACGTTTTCGAAATCAGATTCAAGATGATCTAAAATTATTAGAAGCACTTTCTTGAAAATCATTTTGTTGAGTTATCACATTCAGCTGACGGAGAACTTACTTCAATGAGAGAAATAAAGCACTAGTAACTTGTCAAATACAATCACAATATTCAATGAAAACGGGTGTGGGTGGGTGAGTGGAAAAAAAGAGAATATCCACACCTACACACACACACCCGCACCCACACCCTCCACCCTCAGATCAATGCTTTTTAACTTCTAAAAGAACTCGGAGAGGTTGTAGCAATGAAGAATAAGTAAAGATGTGCACGTATGACAGAAGTTTGTTTTTCAGTTCCCCATTGTTTAGTTCAATATTGTCTTCGTTAAGATTTTTTTTATCGTTGCTCTAGTTTTAAACCTTAATAAATTCTTCATTATAACACTATAATAACAAATTTCTCTCTACTATTCTCCTACACTAATTTGGATCTTTTTAAATTTCGACATTTTATTTTTTCAATCAAATTCAGGTTAACTATGGATTCATTTATTTATTTATCTGCTTATGTATCATTTGGCATCTGCTATTTTCTCTGTAGAACTTTGTTAATTCGTATTTTTTTATTTAAAATTATATACATACTCAAAAGTTTGTCGTCTTGATCGTCATTCGAACGAGAGCGATCTTCATCAATAAACATATAATGCTCAACTCTTCTTAGAAGATCCTTTTGCATATAGATATTTGAAGATATGAAATAATCGAACGACTACTCTGTCTAGTCAGTATAGACTTCAAGTTTGGTCCATTTTTTCAAGTATGTACCTGTTAAGTTACAATAAATACATGATTCCCCTAAAGAAAATCAAAAAGTAAATGCTCATATGACGTTGTACTCGAGGAGACTTACAACCATAAGTAGGTCATCTAATTTCTATTTTGATGATAAATATTTTGCGATCTCATGCCATTTTGTTGTGTGCGACGATTTAAAATGATTGTTCCTGTTGTACCTGAAAAATCACTATATATTATCCAATTTAGAAAAAGAAATCGCACGCTGTATTTTGTTTATATGTGACATTAAGAATAAAACAATGAAAAAAATCTATAGTTTCGTATGTCCTTCATATCTATAACTAAGTAAATAATCAAAATCAGAACTGTTTAGAGAATTAAACGTACCAAATGCATATTTCATTATTCATTTTTTTTTCTCTGAGATAGTCAATATTTTGTTTTGCTTTAAATCTGATTTTGTTGTAGAAAAAGTAATTTAGAAGATTAACAAAAAACAAAGTAAAGTGTAGCGGCGATTCAAGTCGATATCGATTTAAAACGTATATTTTTCCTTATTCTTTCAATAGTTACGATTGAAGCCAGAGATGAAACAAAAAATTCATTATTCTAAAGTGTGGAGGAGTAGGTCAATGGGATACGCACAAGTAGACCCACAACCACATTCATTTCTTTCTCTAATACTATGAAAGAATACAAATAAAGAGAAAAATAATCCATAGATTGTTTATTTCTTTTCGTTTACGATTTCATTAGAAATCCAAATTTTACCAGAAGTATTAAATATGCTTTATTATTACTATTATTTATCATTCCCTTCTGAAATCAAAAGACATGATATATAAATTGTGTTATATTGTCATAAAACTCGATGTATATTCTGTAAAATATCAATCAAGAATTGTATTTTTAATCAAACATAGAAAAGAAACAAATCACTAGATTGAAAAGTATATTCACTTTATTTTTCAAGTTGTAGTTAAAGTGTTGAGTTTTTGAATAATAACAGTAAAACCTTTTTATTAGTGTGTTCAAAAACACCACTGTTATCATGGCATATATAGTAAGTATTAACATAGTTTTTATATTGCTTTTTATTTGTTTTGTATCAAAAAGTTATTTTATAAAAACAAGTTTTTACTCGAGCACAGCGAACTATTGTGAAATACTGATTCTACTAATAGCAATAAGTTCTAATGCAAGATTTTTTTTTAAAAGTTTTATGAAGTTCACATTTATGTAAAGCTCAGTTTATATTATTTTTCTATTCCATTATATCGACAATTGAAGAAAAAAATTTTCATTTATGTTACCTTAATTTCGTTATCAAAAAGTATTTAAAAAAAAACTATAGAATAATTTCATATTCATATTAAATTGATATGTAAGTATATCAAAAGTTTAACGATTTATTAACTAAGCAAAGAACTTTTTTTTTTCTTGGAACACAAGATGAAATTTTGAATCTTGTGGAATGCGTATCTCGAATGTAATAAGAAGTTATGCCATACACTCTATGAATCTTAACGTCATTTTTTCACGTTTTCATAATATATGTTTAATTTATATCATTACGAAATAAAAAGTTTTTTCTTCAGCATTCTTGACAGTGAGCTTAGTGCTTCGACAGACATTTCTGTTCGCATTATAGAAAACAAAATCTTACAAAAAAACATTCGTCAGTAGTCTTAAGTGTTAGTAGATTGATATGTCGAAGTTAAAAAGTTGAGCTGATATGTATGTGTGAGTATCAGTGTTATTAAGAATAGTACTCAGTCGAACGATCACAAGCGCATGTAAACATAAAATAGAAACGTTTCTGATACAAGGATGATCACTTTTTGAGTTTAAAGTAAATAATCAAACAATTTTACAAGAACGATTCGATTTAAATTATGAGTCTGCTTCAGAAGAAATTCATGAATATGTAATTTATATTAGTATTGAACAAGATAAGACAAACAGTTAGAAAAAAAAACAAATTTTAGATTGCTATTTAGAGTTTTTACATTAAGAATTTCACCTTCTTTGGTTAGATAAATGAGAACTATGTCAAGATCAAGATAGAGACTTATATAATTTTGATTTCAATAACTACCAATAAACGATCATGAGATCATCCAATATGATAGTTTAGATATAAAGCAACTGTCATTGAAAAATGACATGTTGTTTTTTTTTCGAATACCTATAATACTCTTTAATCGTACAACTCATCATTATTTTTTTAAAGATAAATATAATTATTACCAAAAACTCCATTGAATACTTCTTATAAATGTACATATTAAATAGAGTTCAAAAGTATAAAATAGTTTATACTTTTTTATTTATTTTGATGAGACATTGACTATGAATTTTCTTTCTAGTTCGCCCATACTTGAACATCTCATCGAAACTATATCAAAAAATAAAATTTCAAGAATCAAATGGTTCTAATTTTCATTCAAGTTTATTAATATGACTTTAGAGTATGATAGTCTCGAAAACAGTTCGAAATGCCTAAGCCTACATTGCAACCTGAATATTCGTATCTAGTAGGAGATTGTTTTTTTTTTGAATGTAACATGCGTCTGTTTAAAAGAAAGACTGCCGTATATATGATGTACCACACGTCCTGAAAGGATTATACTGTACTCAATGGACAAATTAAATTATAGTTCGAAAATTAATTTATTTTTTTCATCCTTCAAATGCTGATTAACTTAAACATTCAATTCCATGAGTCACTACTAGGCTATTATATATACTTTACTTATATTAGTCTTTTTTTTTTTTTATAAATATAGATATATAACGTTACACAACAAAACTATTTGATATTTCCAATCAATAATGATGAACATTTCAAAATTTGAAAATTTACCTAATGAATTAATAATTGAATGTTTGGAATATTTATATATATTTGATACTTTTCATTCATTCAATGGATTAAATGATCGTTTGGACAAACTTATTCGAACTGTACCATTACATCTTAATTTTATTCTTGTTAATAAAAAAAGATTAGAACATTTTTGTCAACATACATTATTATATCCAGAAATAAGGGAACAAATTTATTCACTACGTTTATCGAATGAAAATCGATGTGATCAAATCGAAACATTTTTAGCTCATATATCACTCAATACATTAAACAATTTACATACATTAATTTTAACTCATATTGAAAAAGAAAATCTTATTCAATTAAAATCAATGTTATCATTATCAATAAATTTATTTTCTTTTAAATTGATCTCATCTCAAATTGATGAAGATGAATTAATAGCTGTTCTACCATTATCAAAATTAGAAAAATTATCAATTCTATCATTAAGATCATTTTTATTATATATTCAACAACCAACTAAAATTAAATATTTAACATTATTTAATTGTTCTTTAGAACAAATAATATGTAAATTATTTCCGTATGTTCCTTTTTTAAAATATCTGAATATTAGTTATGTATCTAAATATAACCGATCAATAAAAGATATTGATATTATTAATAAATATAAATGTATTAATTTACAAACATTAATTATAGGAGAATTTATATATAACTTTGAAGATTTTGTTATCTTAGTTCAACAAATACCAAATTTAAAAAGTTTAACAATATCAATAAATTATAACAAAACAATGATTAATGCGTTAAATTGGGAACATTTAATTGAATCTTCATTACCATATTTAAATATTTTTAAATTTAAATTTTCCTTTAAAAAAATATATAATAATGAAACATATTTCGAACAAATGATGTTTTTTCAACGTAAATTTTGGATTGAACAACATCATTGGCATACACAATTAATATCAAATCAATATTCAGTATGTATATATACAATACCGTATTTATCAAATACATTTAAATTAGAATCGGATACTATTTTACATTATAATACAA